TGCTGCCTGCCCCACGCCCTTTCACTCCCGTGCACAAGCCGTACTGACGGCCTGCTTGTGGTTCTTCCATTTTAGCTGGAGTGGGCGCCGGGCGGGAGAAGCATGACGGTGTGGGTGCCCCCCTGGAGGACTCCCTTCCCAGCGATAGGAATCAAGTCGGGTTTGTGAAGCCGGCCCTCGGTCTGAGCTGCAACATTGTTTTCTTTTTCAAGGAAGAACATTTTAGGTAAAATGTTGGTTCCGTTTCAGGAGGCCGGGCCTGTCACCCCGTGAATGCTGGAGGCGCACCTTTGCCCTCCAGGTCTGAGAGTGGAGGCGGCGGGAGCAGCCGCGCCGCAGGCCCGGGACACCGCACGGAAGGCCGGGGGGGACCGCCGCAGCACACCTGCGTCTCGGGGCTCGCCGCGCGCCTCCTTCCTCCTGGAGAGTCCCTCCCGAGGGCGCGGGGCCCGGGGTCGGGTTTCGCCGCCCTCCCCGCTGCAAAGGGCCCGTCCCAGGTGTGTCGCGAGGAGCCGCTGGCTTCCGGGACACCTGCGCGGACACATGGAGCCTGCTTGCGGAAGAGGCCGGGCCTGCTAACGGGCACTGGGGGCAAAGACAGGAAAGCGCGGGGGCCAGCCCGGGGGTCGCGAGGGCGCCGGAGCGCTCCCGCTAGGCCCCTCCCCAGGCAGTCAGGCCCCGCCCCGCGGGTTGCTAAGGGAAGTGACGTCACAACGCGATGGCGGCGGCTCCTTTAGGCAGCTGAAGTGGGTATTAGGCCCGGAAGATCCGAGTCCATCCGCGGCTGGGAGAAGGCCAGCGGGGTCGGTAAGGGCCGGAGCAGGGGCGGCGGCGCTCGGTCTGTCCCATCCGCCGCGTATTGAGGCTCTGGGAGCGGCGGGGCGGCCGGAAAGCGATGGTGAAAGCCGGGCCGCGAGGGGGGCGGAGCCGGCAGTCGGACCCGCAGTAGGGCAGCCGCGGCGCCGCCTCCCCGAGCTCAGACCCAGGAAGCGGCCGGGAGGGCAGGAGTCAACTGGGCTCGCCGCCGCCGCCGCCATGGAGCTCAGAGTCGGGAACAGGTACCGGCTGGGTCGGAAGATCGGCAGCGGCTCCTTCGGAGACATCTATCTCGGTGAGGCGCCCCTCCCCCCGGGCCCGCCCCGGGACCCCTGCCGCCCGCGGACCCCGCCTCGGGGACCCGCTCCGGTCCCCGCCCAGGGCTCCCTCTCCGGCCGGCGCCTGGGGGCGGACTCCCCGGGCGGGGTTGGGGCGGCGGGGACTCGCGGCCTCCCCGTGGCCCTGGCGCGCGCCCCCGGGGGCACCTGCCCCAGCGCGCGCCCCTGCCCGCCCGGGAGTGGCCGGGAGTAGCGGCCCGAGAGCCTCGCCGCCCGCCGGCCGGGTGTCAGCGCCTGGGTGTCCCCGAAGGCAGACAAAGACCGTGGGGCGCGGGAGCGATCCCCGCGGCCTGGCACGTGGGGGTGGGGTGGCGGTTCTCACGGGCAGAGCCCAGGGCCTGTCCGAGGCTTCCGCGGCCCCGGGCACCCATTGCGACGATGCAGCTGCGGCTCACCAGCCCCTCTGGGCGGGGACCTGGGCCGCTGGGCCGCAGGACCGAGTGCGGGGACGCCCCGGGTGGGCCGGGGCCTCTGCCTGACCGGGTGGGAATTGAATACACGGTGCGAATCCAAGTTTTGTCCTGGGTACCCTGACGTCAACAAGAGTGAAGTTCAGTTGACCATAGACGAAGTCAGTGCTAAGGTGTTGGCCAAACTAGAGGCGAATCAAGTGGCAAAGCTCTCCTCACGAGCATGCCCTTTTGGGTATTAAAATTCTCAAGGCAGATTGGGAAAAGTGCTTGGGATCAGAACACTCTTGGTTGTTTCAGATTTACAGCGAAAGAGTGGCACATACTCATGGGTGTTGGAAGGCTGAACCTCAGAGGTGGGAATTTAAGATAACTTTTCTGCTTTTCTGAGAGGAGTAGTGCCTAAGCTGTTCCATACCCCTGGATTTGGACCTTCCATCCTGGCACGCGCGTGTGCGCTGAGGGATCGCCACCCAAGTCGGGTGAACACGTTCTGTTGCTCAGCCTTGCTCTGGTGCTTCTGTTTGGCTGACGCACCCATCAGGGAGGGTCAGGAATAGGTTATGTCAGTAATGCTTCTGGTTATGCCTTTCAGATGACCCCAGGTATGTGTGCTCACCACCCCATCCTTCCTTATTGTCACCCGGAGAGGATGCAAGACCTCGGGGACTGACAGCCTTAGCAGGAGTGGACGTGTGTGGGGAGTTCTGACTGCTTTTGGAACCTAGTTACCTGGCAGGGTCACCTTGGCACATGCCATACCATGCCTTTGAACCTATACTTCTGCCGTACTGTGCAGCAGAGTAAAATACACTTTAGAGATGTTTGGATTTTACTGTTTAAATATTTATATCCAGTAGTCAGCTGGCTGCATTCTCAGCAACATTTGGTAAATGCAGGCTGTTTGCCTTATTTATAGAACAATAGATTTTGGCAAAAGTTTTAATATAGGCTCTAGGAGCTGCGCTGAAAAGCCAATCCATTAGCCATCTTACTCAGGCATCAAAAAGTAGGTATTTTGGAACTTCCTGTCCTCTGGTCTGAGAGCCCAAGAGACCTTGCCAGACAGCTCTGCTTCCTGAAGCTGGGTGCAGACAGTCACGTGTGGACCGGCTGTAAGCTCTTGTCACTGGGAGTGGGCACTTTGTGTGGGATCCTGTCTGCTTAACGGCTGGGTCTTCAGGCCTCACCTCATGCTGGGCCCTTGAGTAGTTCTCATACCCATCTGGCTGACCACGCAGGGGGACCTCAGGCTACCCCTCTGTGTATGTTCTAAGACTAATGGCTGTGGCTCTCAGGCCCTTGTTGTAAGCACCCCCATGGCCCACCCATCATGGTGCACCTCATTACTTCTGTGAGGTTGGGCATGACCCATCTTTCCATCAGTTCTGTCTGGCTCTTGGCTCATGGGTAGTCCTCTCAGGCTCTGCACTGCTCTGCTGAGGAACTGGGCAGTGACCTTGTTAGCTTGAGAGAGAGACGGCTGGAAAGGCAGGTCTGAGGGGGCTTATGCATGCTACAGTTAGGGCTCAGAGCCCAGGATACAGATCAGTCATCTGTTGTAGTTGTTTCTGCCCATTTGGGTAGCTCATTAGGCGTGGTGGAGGGATTGGGCCTCGTCTTGGGAATCAGTGTGTGCTGCGTGTCCTAGTGTGAGTGCAGCTTAGACCATCCTGTGGCCCTCAATGCCGCTGTTGGGGAGTGCGCTCTCCACGACCCTCCAGGTAGGTCTGGCCTTCAGGGCTTGGATTTCCACCTGTGACCTTCTGTGCTTTCAGACGTTTGAAACTGGGAGGAGAGGAAGGCTGTCTTTGAGTTTTGGAACACCCTGCAGACAAGAAGGCCCGATGTTGGCCTGCACCCCCAACAGCCCGCTGTGCTGATGTCACCCAGCAGTGTGCCCTGTTATTCCAATCCTTCCCAGATTGCCCCTTCAAAGCAGGATAGTATCTTGGGGCTATTTCTCCAATGCCCAGGCTTCAGAAAGGGTATATACTGGTCTTGGGTCACCATGGACCCCAAAACGTGCAGTCTCAGTCCTCTGTCCGTCCTCCCTAGCTCGCTAGATCCCGAAGGCCCTTGGGAAGGGCAGGCTGGGAAGGCCTTACAACAAACACACAGGCAAAACGTCACCTTCGTCTGGTATTGCAGGTGGGTGTCAGGTGGAGCCTCAGCCCTGGGCCCCTCTCAACTGTAGCCCATCGCTGCTGCAGTGGGTGTGTGCTGTGAGGAGTGGAAACCAGAAGTCCTTGCCATTGCTGGCTGTGTGCCTCCCAGACATTTGGTAACTTTTGATAATGGAGCCAGTGTTCTTGATGTGGACTGCCTGTCCCCCCCTCTCCACCCACCCCCCGGCACGACCAGTGGGCAGCATGGTGGTGCCCAGGCTGTGGGGTGCCATGGTCGGCAGGTTTGCTGCTCTGTTCGGCCACTGCTCATGGTGCTTGTGAGGTGCCGTGTGCTGGAGGGGCAGCAGGGCTCTGTTCGTGTCCGTTTTTTTTCCCCTCAAGACACGCAGGCAGCAGGGCCCTTGGACCCCACCCCCCTACCCAACCTGACAGCTAACTCTTTCTGGGCGGAGGCTGCCGTACTGAGGCTGAGTGGAGAGGTGGAGAGACTAGCCTGCTCCTCGCAGCGGGAAGACGCTCACCCAGGGCTGCTGTCTGCAGACCACCACGGGGTCGTGAACCATCAGCGGGGGCTGCTGCCTGCCCCACGCCCTTTCACTCCCGTGCACAAGCCGTACTGACGGCCTGCTTGTGGTTCTTCCATTTTAGCTGGAGTGGGCGCCGGGCGGGAGAAGCATGACGGTGTGGGTGCCCCCCTGGAGGACTCCCTTCCCAGCGATAGGAATCAAGTCGGGTTTGTGAAGCCGGCCCTCGGTCTGAGCTGCAACATTGTTTTCTTTTTCAAGGAAGAACATTTTAGGTAAAATGTTGGTTCCGTTTCAGGAGGCCGGGCCTGTCACCCCGTGAATGCTGGAGGCGCACCTTTGCCCTCCAGGTCTGAGAGTGGAGGCGGCGGGAGCAGCCGCGCCGCAGGCCCGGGACACCGCACGGAAGGCCGGGGGGGACCGCCGCAGCACACCTGCGTCTCGGGGCTCGCCGCGCGCCTCCTTCCTCCTGGAGAGTCCCTCCCGAGGGCGCGGGGCCCGGGGTCGGGTTTCGCCGCCCTCCCCGCTGCAAAGGGCCCGTCCCAGGTGTGTCGCGAGGAGCCGCTGGCTTCCGGGACACCTGCGCGGACACATGGAGCCTGCTTGCGGAAGAGGCCGGGCCTGCTAACGGGCACTGGGGGCAAAGACAGGAAAGCGCGGGGGCCAGCCCGGGGGTCGCGAGGGCGCCGGAGCGCTCCCGCTAGGCCCCTCCCCAGGCAGTCAGGCCCCGCCCCGCGGGTTGCTAAGGGAAGTGACGTCACAACGCGATGGCGGCGGCTCCTTTAGGCAGCTGAAGTGGGTATTAGGCCCGGAAGATCCGAGTCCATCCGCGGCTGGGAGAAGGCCAGCGGGGTCGGTAAGGGCCGGAGCAGGGGCGGCGGCGCTCGGTCTGTCCCATCCGCCGCGTATTGAGGCTCTGGGAGCGGCGGGGCGGCCGGAAAGCGATGGTGAAAGCCGGGCCGCGAGGGGGGCGGAGCCGGCAGTCGGACCCGCAGTAGGGCAGCCGCGGCGCCGCCTCCCCGAGCTCAGACCCAGGAAGCGGCCGGGAGGGCAGGAGTCAACTGGGCTCGCCGCCGCCGCCGCCATGGAGCTCAGAGTCGGGAACAGGTACCGGCTGGGTCGGAAGATCGGCAGCGGCTCCTTCGGAGACATCTATCTCGGTGAGGCGCCCCTCCCCCCGGGCCCGCCCCGGGACCCCTGCCGCCCGCGGACCCCGCCTCGGGGACCCGCTCCGGTCCCCGCCCAGGGCTCCCTCTCCGGCCGGCGCCTGGGGGCGGACTCCCCGGGCGGGGTTGGGGCGGCGGGGACTCGCGGCCTCCCCGTGGCCCTGGCGCGCGCCCCCGGGGGCACCTGCCCCAGCGCGCGCCCCTGCCCGCCCGGGAGTGGCCGGGAGTAGCGGCCCGAGAGCCTCGCCGCCCGCCGGCCGGGTGTCAGCGCCTGGGTGTCCCCGAAGGCAGACAAAGACCGTGGGGCGCGGGAGCGATCCCCGCGGCCTGGCACGTGGGGGTGGGGTGGCGGTTCTCACGGGCAGAGCCCAGGGCCTGTCCGAGGCTTCCGCGGCCCCGGGCACCCATTGCGACGATGCAGCTGCGGCTCACCAGCCCCTCTGGGCGGGGACCTGGGCCGCTGGGCCGCAGGACCGAGTGCGGGGACGCCCCGGGTGGGCCGGGGCCTCTGCCTGACCGGGTGGGAATTGAATACACGGTGCGAATCCAAGTTTTGTCCTGGGTACCCTGACGTCAACAAGAGTGAAGTTCAGTTGACCATAGACGAAGTCAGTGCTAAGGTGTTGGCCAAACTAGAGGCGAATCAAGTGGCAAAGCTCTCCTCACGAGCATGCCCTTTTGGGTATTAAAATTCTCAAGGCAGATTGGGAAAAGTGCTTGGGATCAGAACACTCTTGGTTGTTTCAGATTTACAGCGAAAGAGTGGCACATACTCATGGGTGTTGGAAGGCTGAACCTCAGAGGTGGGAATTTAAGATAACTTTTCTGCTTTTCTGAGAGGAGTAGTGCCTAAGCTGTTCCATACCCCTGGATTTGGACCTTCCATCCTGGCACGCGCGTGTGCGCTGAGGGATCGCCACCCAAGTCGGGTGAACACGTTCTGTTGCTCAGCCTTGCTCTGGTGCTTCTGTTTGGCTGACGCACCCATCAGGGAGGGTCAGGAATAGGTTATGTCAGTAATGCTTCTGGTTATGCCTTTCAGATGACCCCAGGTATGTGTGCTCACCACCCCATCCTTCCTTATTGTCACCCGGAGAGGATGCAAGACCTCGGGGACTGACAGCCTTAGCAGGAGTGGACGTGTGTGGGGAGTTCTGACTGCTTTTGGAACCTAGTTACCTGGCAGGGTCACCTTGGCACATGCCATACCATGCCTTTGAACCTATACTTCTGCCGTACTGTGCAGCAGAGTAAAATACACTTTAGAGATGTTTGGATTTTACTGTTTAAATATTTATATCCAGTAGTCAGCTGGCTGCATTCTCAGCAACATTTGGTAAATGCAGGCTGTTTGCCTTATTTATAGAACAATAGATTTTGGCAAAAGTTTTAATATAGGCTCTAGGAGCTGCGCTGAAAAGCCAATCCATTAGCCATCTTACTCAGGCATCAAAAAGTAGGTATTTTGGAACTTCCTGTCCTCTGGTCTGAGAGCCCAAGAGACCTTGCCAGACAGCTCTGCTTCCTGAAGCTGGGTGCAGACAGTCACGTGTGGACCGGCTGTAAGCTCTTGTCACTGGGAGTGGGCACTTTGTGTGGGATCCTGTCTGCTTAACGGCTGGGTCTTCAGGCCTCACCTCATGCTGGGCCCTTGAGTAGTTCTCATACCCATCTGGCTGACCACGCAGGGGGACCTCAGGCTACCCCTCTGTGTATGTTCTAAGACTAATGGCTGTGGCTCTCAGGCCCTTGTTGTAAGCACCCCCATGGCCCACCCATCATGGTGCACCTCATTACTTCTGTGAGGTTGGGCATGACCCATCTTTCCATCAGTTCTGTCTGGCTCTTGGCTCATGGGTAGTCCTCTCAGGCTCTGCACTGCTCTGCTGAGGAACTGGGCAGTGACCTTGTTAGCTTGAGAGAGAGACGGCTGGAAAGGCAGGTCTGAGGGGGCTTATGCATGCTACAGTTAGGGCTCAGAGCCCAGGATACAGATCAGTCATCTGTTGTAGTTGTTTCTGCCCATTTGGGTAGCTCATTAGGCGTGGTGGAGGGATTGGGCCTCGTCTTGGGAATCAGTGTGTGCTGCGTGTCCTAGTGTGAGTGCAGCTTAGACCATCCTGTGGCCCTCAATGCCGCTGTTGGGGAGTGCGCTCTCCACGACCCTCCAGGTAGGTCTGGCCTTCAGGGCTTGGATTTCCACCTGTGACCTTCTGTGCTTTCAGACGTTTGAAACTGGGAGGAGAGGAAGGCTGTCTTTGAGTTTTGGAACACCCTGCAGACAAGAAGGCCCGATGTTGGCCTGCACCCCCAACAGCCCGCTGTGCTGATGTCACCCAGCAGTGTGCCCTGTTATTCCAATCCTTCCCAGATTGCCCCTTCAAAGCAGGATAGTATCTTGGGGCTATTTCTCCAATGCCCAGGCTTCAGAAAGGGTATATACTGGTCTTGGGTCACCATGGACCCCAAAACGTGCAGTCTCAGTCCTCTGTCCGTCCTCCCTAGCTCGCTAGATCCCGAAGGCCCTTGGGAAGGGCAGGCTGGGAAGGCCTTACAACAAACACACAGGCAAAACGTCACCTTCGTCTGGTATTGCAGGTGGGTGTCAGGTGGAGCCTCAGCCCTGGGCCCCTCTCAACTGTAGCCCATCGCTGCTGCAGTGGGTGTGTGCTGTGAGGAGTGGAAACCAGAAGTCCTTGCCATTGCTGGCTGTGTGCCTCCCAGACATTTGGTAACTTTTGATAATGGAGCCAGTGTTCTTGATGTGGACTGCCTGTCCCCCCCTCTCCACCCACCCCCCGGCACGACCAGTGGGCAGCATGGTGGTGCCCAGGCTGTGGGGTGCCATGGTTGGCAGGTTTGCTGCTCTGTTCGGCCACTGCTCATGGTGCTTGTGAGGTGCCGTGTGCTGGAGGGGCAGCAGGGCTCTGTTCGTGTCCGTTTTTTTTCCCCTCAAGACAGGCAGGCAGCAGGGCCCTTGGACCCCACCCCCCTTGTTCATGATTGGTAGAGCGGAGGCTTTTTTCTTGCTAGTTGTTGGCATTTGTACTTGATCCTGTCTCTCCAGCAGGTTATGTGAGGGTGGCCTCGGCTTTCCCCGTTACCAGATGGACTGTGTGGAGTGGCTTCATGGTGCACAGACGCCCCTGGGTCTAAAGCTTAGGAACCTGGTCATACTTGACTTCCATGGTTTTCCCCTCAACTGACTGATTTCTCTTCAGCAGCATCTAGCAGGGCGCCTGGCGTGCAGCAGGGACATGCCGGCTGGCTGGGTGGCTGGGAGAGGACTGCATCTGCCTGTGCTTGAGGGCAGGAGTCGGGCGTTTCCGAAGTGAAGTCACGATCCTGGTCAACCGCTTTGTCAACAGTTGCCTTGCGAGAGTGACCCTTGCCCTGCTGATAATAGACCTCAGTGTCTCATCCCAGGACACGGTCAGGTTTGGGGTTGGTTCACTTAGTTCACCATCTGCCTTCATCTGCCCAACTGGAGGGACGTAGTTTTGTTTTCCTAGGACCAGTGTTACACCTTATGTCTACACAGACTAATCTCTGCCTAGAGAGGAGAGCTCTTGTCTGGCTGGACTGTTGAGCAGTTGTCTGGGAGGTAAAACCCCTCACTGTGAGCAGGTAATACAAGTAAACATTTACATGCCACTTGGTTTTGACTTGTTCGGAATCTGGAATCAGCTCAATAGTATCTTTTAAACCCTCATTTCCCATCTAGAAGTCCTTGTGAAAGTTGCCTGTGCCACAGGACCAGGTTTTGTAATTTTCAGTTAGTCACAAACCAATGTTTGTAAATAAGATGAACACAAAGTAATGTCATGTTGCTCTCAGAGATCCTCAGATGCTTCCCTGCTGTCTTCCTGCTTGTCCCCTTGTGGACTGGTGGCGGCTTGAGGGCTAGAGTTGGAGCAGCACCACCAGCTGTGCACGGAGGCTACTGTTGGCCATTGGGGTGACAGGACCGCAGAGCTGCAGACTGGCGGGCCTGTTTGTTCAGTGGCCTCTGGTGCTTCCGCCTCCCAGAATGCGCAGAACTGGAAGCCATGCCGTTGGGTGCTTCTGCCCAGGGGGCGCGGACCTGGCAGAGGGGAGGCAGCCCGCCTGGGGTGTGTGCTCTCGCGTTTGCAGAGAGCCTGTGCTCAGCCTGTCTGAGTCATGAGACTCAGGGTGGCCTCACATCTGTCTGTGATCCTGCAGAAGGCTAGTGCCATGGTGGCAGGAGGGGTTCATATTGTGTCCCAGTTGCCTGTGGTCATGTATCCCCAAGACTGTCAGTGTTGCGGGGGTGACTGTTGGGTGTTTGCTATATCAGTATCCATCAAGTGGAGCTGGAGATGTCCTCTGCCTTCTGGCGGGTGCTGGTCTGGAAGGTAGCTTGGGAGGGCCCATGCAGTCTTGACATTGAGAACCTGCCTCCTGGCAAGGGTGATAGTGCGGGTATAGTGTGAAGAATAAGTGTGCTCCGCACCGCTCATGCTTCATTCAGCCTACGGGGATGGCTGGTGTAGCCAGTACGATGAGTCATCGTTCCTCCTGGGCTGTGAGTTCGATTCAGAGTTCCAGGTCCTCACAGGACCTCTGAGTTCATTTTTCATTTGCACAGTACATTTTCAGATGAAGTCATGTCTCTTGTGATTGGATAGATTGTCCCAACTGCAGGCAGGAAGAACAAAGTGGGTTACCTGCCTGTCTTTTGAGTGCCCAAGAGCCTCTGTGAAATGGTAAATGAAGTTCTTAATCTGGAGTGGCTGCTTGCAGTGGTTAGACGGTGGTCATTCCCATGGAGATCCAGCATTGGTGATCAGTTTTGGACCCAGGCCTAGACATGGCCATGTGCCGTGTGGTCATCTGAGCATTCTGGAGGAGACTGTCTCTCTCTGGTGCTTGGGCACTTCCTGGGTGTGCGGGGGTCAGCAGCAGCCGTCCTCGCGTCGGTCATCATTCTCCCTGCTGCTCGTGCTCCGCCTTTCGGAGTCTTGAAGCACTCTGTGCGCTCACTCATCCTCTCCACGGCTCCTCATGGGACAGACCGTAGGTCTCCCCCTTCAGTGCAGATGGTGAAGGACACTGGGTCCACTTGCTTTGCCCAACAGTGTTGTCTCCCTGGGTTAGAAGTGACTGCGCTCTGTCTGGGCTGCTGGAGCCAGAGTTAATTTCTTCACGAATAACCATACTACTGGGAAGGGTTGAAATGAGATTTACACAGGGGTCTCCCCTTATCCACACGTCCTAGGACCCCCAATAGGTGCCTGAAAACACAGAAAGTATCGAGCCCTACTTAGAGTCTCCTTTTCCTGGACAGCACATACCTGTGATTAACTTATAAATTAGGTGCACTAAGACCAGGAAGACAGTAAGACAGTAGCACAATTATACAAACAATACACTTTAGTAAAAGTTTTGGGAATGGGGTTTCTGCCTCAAAATATGTTACTGTGCCGTGCTCGCTCTTCCTGCTGTGATGATGCAAGATGACAAGATGCCTACGTGGGGAGATCCAATAACGAATGACGAAGTGAGCTGAATATGTGCACTGCCTTTGGCTGCTGTTCTGATGGCTGGTCAGGAGGATCACCTGCTTCCTGACACGGATGGGGGCGCCTCTCATTCCTTGGAAGGACACTGGGGCAGTGAGGGGAGAGCAAGGTGTGTGCTGTGTGAGACTTTTCCCTTCTCTCCAGGGAAAGCTCTCTGAGGAAGGGCTTACAGGCGTAGCTTTGGGTGGGCTAGAACCCAGGAGTACTTGCGTGTGACTCCTGGAGGGGTGGTGGTTGTCTTATCCGTAGTTCCTTATTGGAGGAAGGAAGAGAGAAGGCATTTTTAGGTAAAACCTCCAAGTTGGCCTTTAAACTCATGGTCTGGTCATAGAGAGGGATCAGCAGATGTATTGCCAGTTTTAGTACAAAGCTAACAAAAGGTGTGTGACCAGCGCACATTGCATTGTGCAGCGAGGGCTTTGCAAGCAGTCTGCTCTGCTGATCCAGTGTCAGTAAGAAGCGTGTAGTGTGACCTGCTCCTCAGGAATGGAGAGGTTTGCTGAGAGTCTCCCTGGGCATCCCTTGGCCGGGCCTGCAGTGGGTTAGTGGTGACTCAAGGGAATTGAGCCCACTTGAGAAGCACCCTGACTGTTCAGAGATGTGTGCAGCTCAGTACCTGGGCTGGATGGACAGAGGCTGTGCAGGCCCCTCTGGAGAAGGGCTTGCACACATCCACACAGGCATATCAAGGCAGCATGGAGAAATGGGGACCACACAGAGTGCGTCACAGGAACACGGAGTTGCCCTGGGACGCCCCCAGTCTCGCCTTAGGCGGTGAGTGCAGGGGGTGATGAACAGGGTGGGTGGGAAGGTTCAGACCAGAACAATTGGAGTCCCACAGAGGGCACTGCATTGTCCTGCCTCTGGGCCCCCGGTGACCTGATTGGAGTGGGGACATAGGAAGGTGGGCGAGAAAATGCCATATGAGACTTCTGGATCAAAATACTGTTTTGCAAAGTGAAAGTAAGGGTAATTTTCCACAGGGGTTTGTTGACCCCTGACACTATCTTGTAACAGGAAGTAGATCACATCCCTCATTTGGTCCTTCTTGGAAGATCCAGACATGCTTGTCCTCCTAGCGTGCTGTGGCATTGGGCACGTAACTAACGTCTGTGGTCTTTTCTCTTTGCCAAGGTACGGACATTGCTGCAGGGGAAGAAGTTGCCATCAAGCTCGAATGTGTCAAAACCAAACACCCTCAGCTCCACATTGAGAGCAAAATCTACAAAATGATGCAGGGAGGAGGTACGCCCTTTACCTATTCTAGAAGAAAACCAGGGTTTGTGTTTGATGAGGGGGGTACATCATGAGTCAATCTCTGGCTTGTACTGAGGGAGGGAGGAAAGTGCCCACGCCCTTGACCCAGTGGTGTGGCTCCCTTCAGATACTGAGAGGCCTGCGGAGGGCGCACTCAACAAAAGACACAGTTTAATGCGTTTTGCTCAAATCCTTTCCTTAACTTCATACTGCGCCAGTGTGCTTGAACTCAGGGGCTGTGAGAATTTTGATTTTTCAGGCTGAGATCACCGTGTGTGCCTCCTTGGTCACTCACTTCGCTCACAGTTTTGGGGAATGCCCTTCAGTCTTTGCCGAGTGGACGAGGGCGTTAACTCAGCCACCTCTGCGCCCCATGCAGCTCACAGTCTGTCCCAGCGCCTCCCCTCGGGCCTCAGGGTGCCTGACGTCAGAGAGCTCCCTCCTGATCTCAGTCTGACTTGTAGAATTCCCCGGACCTTGAAATAGTTTGGCCAGTGGAGCAGGAGTGCATTTGACTGGAGTCTGTCTCAGAGTCCTGAAGACACTGGCATCGCGAAGGACACAGCATGTGGCTCCCCTGGGAGCTCAGGAAGCTGCAGGCACTGCCTGGCCGTTTTGAGCTCTCGCTGGGGTTCAGGGCTTTGTGGCTGAAGAACAGCTGCACAGCTCCTGCTTTGAAACCCCTTCGAGCCAGAAGCCCACCTGGTGCTTTTGTGGTTGGGAAGCCTGTGCTTTGCTGGGAGTTTCTTCACAGTGGTGGCCCTGTGGGCAGGTGTGTGTGTGTCTTGGGGGCTACTGATTTGACATCTTCCTTTCACAGAGGTAATTTAATCTGTGCTGCTACTACAAACCAACGTTTCTGGGTTTGTGCAGCACAAAGTGCCTCTTTAGCAACAGTACATCTCAAAGCAACACAGTTGTGTGGGACATATTGCAAGGGGGTGTCCAGTACATCCAGCCTGGGTTTCTCAGGACCAAAGGAGGCTGTCAACTCCTGGCTCGCACACAGGGGTGAAACATCTCCTGGCCCCTTCTGTCTCTAGGGCGGGGCAGCACAGGACCTGCCAGGGTGCTTGCTCTCTGGTAGTCCTCAGGCATCAGGGACAGTCTACACAGTTTCTGAGGTGGTGAGAGTAGAGTGGCTTCATGGTAAGGAGGAGCCTGGTGCTGGGAGTGCCCAAGGGCACATGCCCATGGTCAGAGCTGGTGAAGCAGACTGAGGGGGAACAGAAAAGAGGGTATTTGCTTTAAAAGAGGGTTTATCAACCTCAGTGCTGTGTCCTTTGCTGAGGGGGCGTCCTTTGCACATAACCCCGCATGCTGGCAGTACCCCTTGCCAAGTTGGGATGATAGGAACTGTCCAGATGTTGCTGAGTGCCTCGGGGTGTAACACTGCACCTGTGTGGGACCTGTTCTGGGATGGAAAGGGTCGTTTTCTTCCCCATCTTCTCACACTCCTGCAGGAGCCTGGAAACCCACCAGGACCTTCCCCCATCTGGCCAACCCCACACACACATCAGGTTTTACTTGTGTTCCGGATGCGCACTTGGGGGATACTATCAAGATGTAAAGTTCTGTATTTTAGAAAACAGGCAATGGCCAGGAAAGCAGAGTGCCTAATTCTGCTAGTGTTCTGTGATCTTGTCGCGATTACTGAGACAAGGATGAGACCAGCAGAGAGAATGTAGGGATCCACTTTGCCCAGAATCACCTAGCTTTGCCATTGACCAGCTTTCTGAATGCAGACTGCTTTGTCACTGTGAAGGGACAGAAGGCATCTCTGGTTGTCTTTTTATGCTCAGTTCTGGGTTTAACTTGCAGGTGGTTGATACCCACAGCATCATGTCATAGGAGAAAGCTTGAAGCCAGTGGGCTGCACTGGACATGCTAGCTCATCTAGGACGCTGCGCAGGCGCTGTGGCATTCAGGATCCTCCCCTGCCTGGCTACAGAGCTGCTGCACTCAGTCGCGCCGCCAAGGGGAGGGTCCGCGTCTAAGAAGCGCGCTAGTATCAGGTATTGGAGAGATTGCTTCTCACTCGCCCTGGCACGTTTGCTGCCACGACGGTCCTGTGTGGTGGATGTCATCAGCCTTGTCACAAATAAGGGAACTGAGGCACAGGCAACTGTGGGACTTCCCTGAGGACACAGGTTTGGACTTGAGCCATTGTAGCTCCCAGGCCTTTGCTGCACAGAGCTGTTTGCTCCCAGGAAGAGGCAGCAGTTGGGAATGTGCCCCAAACCTGATTGAGACAATAGATTAAAAACCTGAAATAGATAAAAACTTAGATTTGTTAGGTTGGGGGAAGGACTTGGGCATACAATGAGGTATTGTGAATGGAGTGGACTGCCCCCTCCAAACCTGATCCCCTCAAGCGATTTTGGACCCTCCCCTGCCTGGGTGAGTCCCTCAGGAGAGAACCGTGTCTTCGTTCACAGCTACTCTGGCCAAGGCCCTTGGCAGGTGTGGGGGTGGGAGGGAAGAGTGGTCTCTGTGTATGAGGTCCGGGCCAGGGGAGGGGGTGCACGTGACTTTGGGGCCACCAGCACCGTAGAAACAAGCAGCTTTGCTGCTGTTGCTCCTCTTTCCTCGTTTGCCGGATCAGTTCCCGTGGTTTATTTCAGGCCGTCACAGTCTTTTCATTGGGAAATGTCTGTGGTTGGTACCGAAGAACATTCCTCATAGGCATCAAGGATAGTGAGCAACTCTGTGTCCCCACCCACTGGAGAGCAGGTGCCTGCCTGCCCTTGCCTGGTTGTCAAGTTTCTGCTTGTTTGTTAGCCTGCAAAAAGTTAGTTTTTAAAAATCTAAGGACATTTTCTGGAAACATTTGGCAGTTTTATTCACAGTTGTTTTAAGGTTGCATTGCTGAAAATGTCATGAAAATCTGTATTTAAATTAATGCTGAGTCCCCACATTTGTATTGAAACTTGTTATAAATCAAAATGGAGAGCATTTACTGGCCTGGCCTCTAGTTTCACCCCCAAGCATATGCTTTGTTATCTTGGACTCTGAGCGAGAAAGTATCAAATGTTGAGAACTACACATATTATCAGTTCAAGGGACCCATCCTCAGCACCTGGGCGCGGGCAGCACGCTGGTGGGGTGCTGACCCCTCCGGCCTCGCTCGTTCCTGCACAGGCCCAGTAGTGGCCGTCTGCAGCACCGGTGTGTTTTCAGGTTCCCAGGCTTTCTGGTTCCAGATGGCTGATGTCACAGGATCCCACGGTCTTTGGACAGGAGTGGGAGCGTTCCTGTGAAAGACTCATCACTGCCTGGGCCTCCCCACTTAGTTTGCAACATTGCTTAGGGTGAGGCCAGCTGCACAGGAATCCCAGCATCCTCTCCTGGCCAGAACACTCCACTTTGGCTGCACTTTACCCTCTGTCTAGCACCATCAATGATGAGACACGTTTGTATTGAGCCCTGACAAGAAAGGTGCCGCAGTGCCACACGTCTTCACTTGTAAGCTTTGGGACGGCTGTAGTCCAGCCTTACTGTGTGTGGGCAGCTTTCCTTTTTGACCCAGTGTGTCGTGAGAGCATCGTGTTGACACAGCTGTAGTTGGTGGCTACACGAGGGCTCTTCTGGCCATTGTTGAGGAGCCATGGCCTGCAGCTGGCATTTTGCTATTAGGGACGTTGCTTCAGTGATACCTTTGTCCGTTCTTCTGGTGCGTAACCTAAGAGCAGGAGTGTGCTTCATGGGACAGGCACATGCTTCACCCACAGGATGATGCCACAGGAATGTAAGGACATGCTCTAGGTAGTCACACAGCTTGGTCTTCCTGCCTGCATGCCACTGGGGCTCTGTCACATCCATATTGTCTTTGGCCTTTCACTGTTGTCTCCTTCCTGTTATGCATGGAACATCCTGGGTGGCACAGAAGACTAGGGGGAACTTAAAGAATAAGGATGGGAAAGGAAGATATAGAACCTGTTATTTGCACATGATTCAGTGTCCTGAATGGGAAACCCAGGAAACAGATGAGAGTTCAGCCGAGAGCCAACAGAAAATCAGGGTGCGGACCGGCTCCTTTAATCACACCACCAACGGTTGCAAAATGTAATTCTTTATTCACCCCCTTTTGGCACCAGTAAGTATTTATTCATTACATTTTCCCAGTGAGAGGAGGGGAAGGGAGAGCGGTCATCGTGGCACAGCACTGTAGCGAGTGGGGAAGATGTGCCGCACGCATGCCGTCAGCCACTGCATCACCCGCCCCCCCGGAGGTGGGGCCCTGAAGCCGGGGGCTGGACAGGACAGGCACGTGTACCCCTCCACTCAGAGTCTTGGCTCCAGCAGTGAATGTGGAGTCACAGTCATCTGCCTCCTCCTAAGTGATCTTGTGACCACTTTGACATGAGATTCTTGTGCCCCCTATGAAAGTTCCTGAGTGATTTGAAGGTGCAGTCATCTCACCTTTCTTGGTCTACCAAGCCCATTTTCTTCCTGGAGGGTCTCCATTGTACGTAGCCTAGGATGAGAGATTAAAGTACGTTTGATCCAGATAACAGTAGTGGTTTGGCATGAGTCACGAAGGAAACAGTCACTCGTGTAGGAAACAGATGGAGTGTTACTAACTTCCTCAGGACTTAGGCATGAGTCATTTAAGAGTTGTGGAGATGCTCCACAAGTCAAATAGTAGGTGTGGGCTTCTTTGGATGGGCAGATAAGAGGACAGAGTAGGTTTTTTTGGGTGGGCAGATAAGGGGAGTCATTTTGCCTACAGAAGATCTGGTCTGAAATAGGGACAGGGGAGGGACAAAAAAGAAAGGATAGCTTAAGGTAAGGATAAGCCCCCAGCCAGTGTCTCATATCCTTTGCCTGGTGTAGAAACTTCGGTCAGAGATATTCTGACTGTTATTCTCAATACAAAAAGTTTATAAACAATAAAACTCCAGAAGAATATGGAGACATACCAACACATTATATTCGCACAAACCAGGCCACCTAGTGATCCCCTAATCAGTGGCTGGTGAAATCTA